AAAAATAAATTTGATAAAATAACAGTAAATATACATAACTCGTTAAGATAAAATTCACAAATACTTAACAGAAATCTGAAGTATAAATTGTAAACTGTACTCAAAATAAAGTGCATTTTAACTCTGTTACATGTGAACGAGTGCAAACTGTGCTGTGGCCTGACACACACAGATCTAAAGTCTCTCTCTCTGTCTCTCACTCTCTCTGTCTCTCTCTCTCTCTGTCTCTCTCTCTCTCACTCTCTCTGTCTCTCTCTCTCTCTCTCTCTCTGTCTCTCACTCTCTCTGTCTCTGTCTCTCTCTCTCTCTCTCTCTCTAATGCACTAATCCCAGGGCAGGTAGAATAACCTGTGTCAAAGTTTCTATAACCTTGAACAGCAATATTTAAATATAATATAATAATCTCAAACAAAACATAATTATTGATATTTTCTTCTGTAATGTGGTACATTTAAATATTTCTATGTGCCAACCTGCAGTTTGCAATGACAGTTAACCCCTCTGCTTAATGTTAAGATTTAAGATTAAGATTTACTTTTATTGTTGGGAAATTTCAGTTTTTACACTCTGCAAGTCACACACACATAGGCTGAAATATACACACACATGCAGAAACGGGATCCTATGGACATGGAGAGAAGCCAGAGTGACGGAGCGGCCCACAGCGGGCGCTCCTGAGCTGATGGTGGGGAGAGGGTTTGGTGCCTTGCTCAGGGGCACCTCGGCAGTGCTCAGGAGGTGATCTGGTACCTCTCCAGCTACCAGACTAACTTCCATATTTGGTCCGCACCAGGACTTGAACTGGCGACCCTCCGGTTCCCAACCCAAGTCTCTACAGACTGAGATACTGCCCCAAGTCCAAGTTAATGTTAAAGTTTTCTATATAATCATACATTAGCCTATATATCCATGTGTTGAGTTATAGTGATGTTGGCAAAATTAGTCCGGCCCACTTGAGGTCTCATTTGAACAAATCCAGCCCCTTACCCAATAGAACTTTGACATCACTGCTTTATGGTATACCAGAAGGTGCCGAAAAGAAAGATGTGACATCATTTGTGTCTGACTTTCTGAAAACTGTGCTCGAGTTGCAAGGAGATGTAGAGATTAGGCCGAAGGATGCAACAGCACCACCAAGGTCTATAATTGTGAGGTTTCTGGACTTTAGTGTGAAACAGATGGTACTGCAGCAAGCATGGAAGCAACGAGACATTCAATATGAAGACCGGAGGGTTTTCTTCGACCAAGACTACTCCCCTGACTTGCAGAGGAAAAGAAAAAAAAGTGCGAGAGGTAATCAAAAAGCTGAAAGAAAAAACATCAGAGCCCAGTCTCCATATCCGGCACAACTAGAACTTTTCCTCGATACTGGTGTAATGTGGTTGCTTGTCGGTCCCTGGGAGAGGCTATATAAGGGTGACGTAATCAAGCGCTCGCCCTCTCTTACCTGTGTGTTGAACAAGGAAGTGCAGCGTGAAGTGAACTGATTACAAACAATTGCTGGCGGTAAGTGATCTGTTGAGCTTAAAACGTAATTATCCACACACTATGAAAGCACATGCAAGAACAGTGCGAATTGCTAAAGTTAAATTTATTCACTCTTGTAGATAGCGGATTACAACAAGTAGGAGGATGACTGGACGCTGTAGTGACTCATTGTTTTAACGGTATGAGAGTCCTCATGTTGTGCTATGAATTAAATCATCTCTGTTGGGCTTTAATAATTAGTTTATATTTTATTATCGCTCTTAATCATCAGCGGCAGCAACGGGAGTAAACTTGCTGATTATTATTGTGCAAAATGAATGTATCAAATTGTGTGACACTGTGTAATTATTTTCTTATATATTTTTTTAGTATGGCTCATCACAACATTAAAAGCACACTGCTTGTCCGGGTGCTAAGTTGATGAATTAAAGGTATGCTATTTTGGGTTGACACATCCACTAAAAACATGGTCAGAAGCCATAATTTCTGTCATCCACAAAGAAGGGAATGACCCAACAAAATGTACCTCATATAGGCCGATAAGTCTACTGTGCACTGATGTAAAAATCCTTAGTACAATAATGGCTAAAAGGATTTAAAGATACATTAACAAAATTATAAAAGCTGATCAAACAGGATTTATACCTGGACGACATGGATTGAATAACATCAGGAGAACCTTAAATATAATCTCTGTAGCTAGACAGTCTGTTGGAACTTCGATGATTCTCAGCCTGGACGCAGAGAAAGCGTTTGATCGCGTAGATTGGCTTTTTCTGGAACAAACACTTAAAAGATTGGGATTTCATATAGATTTTATTAATTGGATCAGAGTGCTGTATTCTGGGCCCACTTCGCAAGTTAGGGTGAATGGACATACATCAGGGAGCTTTAATCTGAATAGAGGAACTAGACAGGGCTGTCCCCTTTCTCCTCTGTTATTTGCTATCAGTATAGAGCCTTTAGCTGAAATGATAAGGGAGAACACCAAGATAATAGGAATATCAGATGATGCTGTATGCTGACGATCTTATTTTATATATTAATAACCCCCTGTGCTCTATCCCAGCCCTTTTAGATAGCTTACATGAATTCGGGGAAGTATCCGGTTACAAAATTAATGAAACTAAATCAGAAGCTATGATACTTGTTGGCAGGTGGCCTTCTGAGCTGGACAAAAAAGTTACACTTAACTGGTCAGCACAAGGCTTTAGATACTTAGGCATAATGATTACTCCAGATACCTCAGAATTATTTAAAGCTGATTATGGTATACTGATGGCTCAGATAAGGTTAGACTTGGCTCGGTGGGAGATTCTCCCGCTCTCACTTATCGGAAGGATTGAAACAGTCAGGATGAATGTACTTCCTCGACTGTTGTACTAGACAACATGCATGCCCACTGGTACCTCTTGAGACAATACCATTCTTAGAACAAAAGAAATGGAAGAAACTTAAGATAAAAAATGAATGGTTGAATTGTACTCAAAGGGTCTGGTTTCAAGTTAGGAAAATGATAGGCGCACCGTTAACAATATCTAGAGCGGTCAAAATTGCAAAAAACATAGACTTTAAAGAAATTAGATACAAGGTTCAACGCTTGGGCAGAAAAAGGCCTTGTGATCATAAACCAGTTATTTGAAGGTGAAACCCTAAAGTCATATAAGCAATTACAGGATACATTTATTTGGCCCCCAAGGATTTTTATAGATATTTACAACTAAGGAACTTTTTAATGTCACACAAAGAATGGAACAACTGCCCACACCAATAGAGGACTTCCTGATGAGGAAAATGGAAGAAAAGAATACTAAGAAAGTAGTTTCACATATGTACAGATATTTACAGGCACAATGCTCAGGAAATTCTGTTGATGTGAAAGAAAGGTGGAAGCTGGAGATGAATGTGGTCATTAAGGATAAAGAGTGGGAGGATGTGTGTGAAGTGGGGCATAAGATAACTAACAGTCCAACTTGGAAAGAATTCAGTTGGAAATTAAAAATGCGACACCATTCATAGTATCAAAATATGACAGAAGTAAGACAAATTTATGCTGGAGGAACTGTAAACAGGTTGGAGATCATACTCACATCTTTTGGGACTGTCCCAAACTAAAATCATTTTGGGAAGTGATTCAAACAGAAATACGAACCATCCTAGGAGTAGATTTACCGCTTACAGCATCATATTTCATCATAGGTTTAATACTGGAGGGAGCGATGGATAAAGGAAAGGCCCGGTTACTACACATCCTTCTTCTGGTGGCGAGGAAAACGAAAACCATATCCTGGCTTAGACCTCTACCTCCCACCCTTCTCCAATGGAGAGAAAGGCTAGAGAGGGTTTACTTGATGGAGAAAATAACAGCGAAACTCCATCTGAAAATGGATTTGTTTGTGGTTCTATGGGCTCCTGTCATTGCTTACCTTACATTACCAATAGGTAAGAGACCGGTTTACATAATCTCAATTTATTTAAAAGAAAACATTATGTATATTTCTTTTGGTTTATTTTGGATGTGTCAGTAGACATATTCATAGAGATGTATGTGAAAGGTTAACAATTGCTTGTGTGTTTATGGACAGATATATCTGATGCCTGCTTTGAAGAAGCAATTTTTTTCCCTCTACTTGTCAAGAGTCTCCTCTTTGTGCGGATGAAGATGTTGCCATGCGTTTTATTTATTTTTAATTTTCTATGTTTGCCGAACTGTAAATAATTATTGTAAAATTATTACCATGTTTTACCAACTAAGATATGTAAATATAAATGTGTAAAATATTGAATAAAATAAATGTTTGAATAAAAAAATAAAAAAATAAATAACAAGAAGTTAAAAATCAAGCATATTTACATCAGTTAAATAAAGGGAGAAAAAATACAATAATAGAATAATACAAGGTATGTACACTTCCACATGTGGAAAGAGTTATTGTTATTTAAAACACACACAGTGTGTAGCATTATTGCTATGAGTGGTGATGCCAAGAAAACGTTTGTCCAAAGTCACAATTTAAAGTACTTTAAAAAAGAAAATCTCTTACTTTATTCTATAAATGTACAATAATGTAGTAAATTTATGATTTTATTCTGATACACTAAGACATTTATCTTGTAAAATTACGACTTTATTCTTGAAATGGTTTCCCCCTTAATGTGGCCCTAAAACTCCTTCATAACACTGAGCTCAGGAAAATAATTTTTAGTTTTGCTGCCCCCTACAGAGCACTTTGTCCAAAATGATTTGAAACCAGCAGATCTCATTTCACTTGAAGCCTTTGGCTCGATCTTAAATGACCAAAAACGCGAGACCATTGGACAGTGCCTGATGTGTTTGAACTGTAATCTGTCATCACGACTTCTGCACTTTATCTTTTGTTTTAATTGATGTTGCTCTTAAATTATTGTTTGTGAACTGTTCCATATTCACGTAAAGTTCATTATGACGTGTGATGCTGCCCTCTTTGACAGGCCACCATGTGAAAGAGATCTTGATCTGAGTGCTTAAAGGCAGAAAATGTCACTGTCACAGTATCTATTACATTTAAGTGTGAAAAATAGCATATTCTGCCTTTAAAGGCTTTATATGCGATTTATAGATCCAGCAGATGTCGCCCTTGAGGACCAGCATGAAACCAAAACAACTCGCGCTGCATTGCTGTGTTAGCATGCTAATGCTAGCGATCTTTATTCTGCTCGTATCTTCACACTGCATGTAAATTTACCTGAAATGAGCGTGATCTAGAAACACAGTTAAGCAGTGTGTACATTATGTTATTCTTCTTTTCTCTAGTCCCTCAATTAAACAACTTTTATACGAGAGGGGATGAGCCGGCCGGCCGTCCTGACGATGTAAACAAAGTGAAGATAGGACTCTGAAAACTCTGAAAACATCACAGAGACAGTGGGACTCGGGTGTTACACCCATTGTAGACAGTCATGACTCACAGAGTTATTTTCAGAGGATAGACTTGATTTATATTATATTTAAGTGTGAAAAATCACATATTCTGTCTTTAAAGGAGACATATTCTAAAATAAATATAATTTTTTTGACCCACAAAATGTGAAATAAATCCATCCAGTCCTTTGTTTGTGGTCTGCATAAGTCTTACAACACAGAGAAAAATGCTTCATTTCTAATTTGCTCTCCTTGTGATGTCACAGTGGGATTCTGGTAAAAAAAAAAAAAAAAAACAACTCTCTGCTCCCCACCATTTTTTATAGACTCATTCATTTTCTCAGGTTGTTTCTTATTCAATAAATACATTTGCAGTTTTTTTCTATTTAAAGTATTAACAAAACTTAAAACTACTAACTACATTGACATGTAAAGAAAACTACTTCTGGCCTAAATACTCAATTGAAACACAAGTATCGCCTCTGACAAGACAAGTAGCCAGTCATAGTTTAGTGTTTTGGAGAGGCACCTGGGGTGGCTTATCAGTTTTCAAGGGGCCCCATGTCACCCCTCTAGGCACGCCACTGCATATATATTCCATCAAATGTTAACATGTGAATACATAAATGTTGATCCAGTAATCTTTTTCACTTTTGTGATCTCAACGAAGAGCCACTTTTTATCTGTTTATAGGTTTGTTGAAAAAGAACCCAATATAGGTACATTAGAGGCCATTGTTGTTTGTGAAGCTTGAAGAAGGTCACCTCCAATGTTAAAAAAAATAAATAAAATAAACATATCTACTTCAGTTGTGATGGTTGCTAATGTTTGTAGTCCCTTTGATTGCCAGAATGCAGGTATGTTCATGGAAAAATAAACAGACTGAGACTTTTTCAAATTCACCCATTTTCAAATTTATTTTTACTGGTAAGACTTGACATGGAACAATCAGAAGTTACAGCATTTGAAAAGTGAAAGAATTAAAGGTCACATATTCTCCTCCTCTTCAGTTTAAATAAGTCTCAGAGCTCCTCAAAACATGTGTGTGAAGTTTCTTGTTCTAAATCCACTCTGATCCTGTATTTGATCATACCTATAAACCCCTTTATTTCATCCCTGCTCAGAACAGGCTGTTTCTGTGTCTGTACCTTTAAATATGTAAATGAGCTGTGTCTGACCACGCCCCCTCTCTGGAAGGACTTGGGTGTCTCGGTCTTTCTCACTCATGTCCTATTGTTTACGGTGAGAAGGCAGACTCAGAGCACACATTTTCTGAAAAGTGGAGCAGAAAAGTGGAGCAGAGAAAGATGGAGATTATGGACTTTTCTCATCATTGGGGTTTTGTAGACAGACTAGAGACACATATTAAGAGTTAGAGAAACATGGTGAAGTGGATTCTGCAGAATATGTGACCTTTTATCAGCAATAATTGAAACAAATTAAGACACAGAATACAAATTAAATTCTCTGTTGAAATTTTCCTTCACAGAAACTTGATTGAGTCTGGGACAGCTGGTGGTTCATCGGGTACAGCACAGAGGCGGTAAGGTTTGGGACTGCGAGTGAATCCTAGAACAAAATCCAGGCTGGGCTGCTCTCCGTCAGCTGCAGAGAAAGAAAACCTCTGAAGAAGGGAGGTAAAAAAGAGGAATATTTCCATCTTAGCCAGCGCTCCCCGATACACACACGCTTCCCTGAGGAAACACAGATCGACAGGTGAGGAGATTGAACACAAGACATTTATTTGATTTATAATATTGCTGCAGCTCAGAGTCTGAAACAAGCACAGACTATTGTAAGACAATAGTCATGGCAAAAAGCCAGGTGGGCAATGTTGTGTATTTTAGAAATTCTCTTCAGGAAATCATTTGGTGTATAACATTAAAGTAGAGTCAGCAGCTTTCTCCTACAAAATCAAATACAGACTTCTCCTAAAGTAAAGCTGCTCCATCATCCCTTCTGGGCCTCCATACATGTGTGGTGGCGACTGTGTCTGCAGAGACTCTGTCCTCTGACTGGATTTTACTGTTCTGCTTTGTTCTGGTTGACTCAGGACGTTTCTGGGTGGGGAGATGGTATGTTACCCCCAGCCAATGAAAGCGCACCGGTAAGTTTAGGATTGGATACAATTCAGCGTTTGTACACCATTGAAACCGGCGAAATGACGGATGTGGAAGTAGCAGCAAGAAGAGAAAATATAATCACAGTGAAGCTCGTTGCAAAGTGAGTGTGAAGCTTGAGTTGGAGTTGATCTGCTTTCTGTTGGACAGCTGCCAAACACAGCTGGTTAGCTTGTGCTACCATGCTAAATAATCGTCTTTTCCATTACAACAAATGTAAAGGCCCTGACACACCAAGCAGATGGGAAGAAACTAGTGGCAACGAATGCCGCCTGCGGCTTCGCCTCACGTCGCCTTTGTCATGGCCAAAAGTTGCACTTGAACACACCGTAAAGACTACAACCAAAGGCGTAAGTTCTGTGCATGTGTGAGAGGAAATAACTCTCCATGCCAGCAGGCAGCGGTAGTCTGTAATCGTCATTCCAAAAAGGAGAAACCGGAAGAGGACGGAGAAGAATGCGGATATACTGTATATAAACCATTGTTTTGATACAAAAACACGGTCCAACTAGGACCGACGGCCGACAATCTCCATGGTGTGTCAGGGCTTCAATAATCTCTGGTTGCTTGCAGTGTAGGAACAAGCAGCAAACGTTCACACTTAACCGGCAGTGATAGCGATTCTGGAGGCGTTGAGCCCAGAAGGAGGGGTGTTTACGGACTGTCATGAATATTTCTACTGACGCCACTTTTATGTTGCTTTGATGGAGTTGTAACAACTGACCAACCTGCTGAGAAAGGAAGGAAGGCCTCTCTCTTCCTAAACTGGCCGTCCCGATCCAGAAAGTGTTGAGGGTTGAAGGAGTGTGGAGTTTCCCACATCGTCTCATCGTGAAGAACCGAGTTCAGGGTGGGCATGATGATGGTGCCCTGAGGAAACAGCATTTATGAAGGACATTTGATAATCCATACTAACATAACAACAGGACTGATTATCAGCAGAATGCTACAATGTGCATTACGTACCTTTGGGATTGTGTACTTGTCGAGTGTTGTGTCCTTGGTTGCCATGCGGGCCACATTAAGGGGAATGATGTTGGCCATTCTCTGGATCTCATGAACGACTGCGTTAGTATAGGGCATGTCTTCTTTGTCATTTAGAGAGGGCGCTCTGGATGAACCAATCACAGCGTCTATCTCAGCCTGGACTCTCTCTGTATACAGGGAAAACATAAAACAAGTAATTTGACCAGATAAACTGGAAATGGACTTTTTTTTCCTTCTGACTACTCAAAGCGTTTTACACCGCAGGTCACACCTACACATTCACACACTGATGGTAGAGGCTGCTGAGTAAAGAGTCCATCAGTATTAACTCATGCATTCATACACATTCACACACTGATGGTAGAGGCTGCTGAGTAAAGAGTCCATCAGTATTAACTCCTCCATTCATACACATTCACATACTGATGGTAGAGGCTGCTGAGTAAAGAGTCCATCAGTATTAAGTCAACCATTCATACGCCGCTGACGAAGCAGCGGGAGCAACTTGGGGTTAAGTGTCTTGCCCAAGGACATATCGGACATGTTGATATATTACAATATATACAATTTGATATACTTTATTAATCCCTGAGGGAAATTCTGGTTTACACTCTGTTATTAAGAGACATGCTTCTCACACACATAGGCCTGAATCACACGCATGCACAGTGACCTGTGGACATCATTAGTGGAGAGAAGTCAGAGTGCGGCTAGGAGCACACCAGAGCTGTTGGGGGTTCGGTGCCTTGCTCAAGGGCACCTCTGCAGTACTCTTGCTTATCACCAGCTACCAGACCAACTTCCATATTATGGTCCGTATTGGGACTTAAACTGGCCACCCTGTGGTTCCCAACACAAGTCCCTACGGACTCGGCTACTGCCGCCCCCGACTTTCCGGTTGAACCCCTGACTTTTCGGTTGAGAGACGAACTGACTTATCCTGTTGAAGAATTCTGATACTATAAAGTCCTGCTAAAACTTTTACAAAACTAAGCAGACATGGGAAGGGACATATATGACTATCACACACACATACCTTGTATTTGAGGGTAGTAGATCATGTACAGCAGTCCCCAGTGTAGAGTAGTGGTAGTAGTTTCAGTTCCAGCACCAAACAGGTCCAGAGTGCAAGAACACAAATTCTCGATATCAAAACTAGAATCTTTTTCGTCTCTCTATCAATAAAACAAAAAGACAGTGTCAAGTACAAGTTTGCATATTCAATTACAATATGCAAACACAACACACACAAAATCTACCACAAAGACCTCCAAACATGTAAACTTTTACCTCTCCCATCTCTGTGAGGAAGCAGTCGATGTAGTCTCTTGGTGAGGACGGGTCTAGACTATCTCTGTGTTCTTTGACCTTGATTTCAACAAAGTCAACGATCCTTTTGAACATAGTTAAAATCTTGTTGTGAGATCCAGGCAGCCACTTCATCAGCCAGGGGAACGTGTTATAAATCTACAGAGTATGGAGGCAGCAATCAGTTAAGCATGAGGTAGATTGAAACCTAAACAAGTCAAAGGTGCAGGCTGTTGTAGATGGGGCAAAACATTGTGGACGTGTGCTCCAGAAACCTCTTGGTGGTTTATCATCTACCCAAAGAGTTTAATTTCACTGAAATGTGTTGATGGTTGCTCTGATGTAAAGAAGATGGAGAAAAAAATAATGCAAACAGGCTAGCAACTGATATCGATTGTAGTGGGAGCAGTCTCAGTAATCATTAAATTTACATTTTCTTTTGGAACCACGTCTCTGTCTTGATTCAGTTGTTGAACCTGTGTTGCTTTTGTCTGATTAAGGTGTTTATATATTTCCTGGGGTGAAATTCCCCAGGTGGCGTCGTGGGGTCAGTTAGATTTTTGTTGTCTATTATACACCAACCCTTATTGCCCCTTGCCACATCCATAAGATCAGATATTAATTTATTGCAATATATAATGTTTGTTTGAGTAGCATTCTGTCTTTTAAATGGAACTCCAAAGGTTTCAGTACTGAAGGGTTTTAATTTCATAGAAGCATTTATGAGGAACCCTTTCTTTTTTGTCACATCAAAATAGTCATCTTGTTCCCCGAATTTTCTTCCAAGTTATCCAGGGTAGGGTCGCAGTGGCAGCAAGCAAGTCGCCCCAGACTTCCTTCTTCTCAACGCTTTCTAGCTCCTCCTGGGGGATTCAAAGGTGTTCCCAGGCCAGACGGGATATATAATCCTTAAGCAGTCCACTAAAAATTATAATTTTTTACACTCTGTTTAACGAACATGCTACACAACCATAGGCCGAAATCCTCCCAGTTGCCCATTTGGATGTGCCTGGGCCATATCTGGGACAGGATCAGTGTCAGTGTCTTACAATAGTCTGTGCTTGTTTCAGACTCTGAGCTGCAGCAATATAAAAAATCAAACAAATGTCTTGTGTTCAATCACCTCACTGGTCGATCTGTGTTTCCTCAGGGAAGCGTGTGTGTATCGGGGAGACACTGGCCAAAATTGAAATATTCCTCTTTTTTACTTCCCTTCTTCAGAGGTTTTCTGCAGCTGATGGAGAACAGCCCAGCCTGGAAGCATCTTAATCAGATGCCCTAACCACCTCAACTGGCTCCTTCCGATGCAGAGGAGCAGCTGCCCTACTCCAAGCTCCCTTCGGATGTCAGAGCTGCTCATCCTCTCTCCAAGGCTGAGCCCAGCCACCCTCCAGAGGAAAGTCCATTTGTAGTCCAGTTCTAATTCTTTAGGTCACTTCACAAAACTTCTGACCACAGGTGAGGATTGGAACCATAGTCTGTATTTAATATATAATATTTACAGTTTGTGGTTGGAGCGAAGATCAACCTGGGAACCAAGAGCTTTGCCTTCAGGCTCAGCTCCCTCTTCACCATGACAGTTCTACGCAATGCCGCATTAATGCTGCAATCCATTTTACCCATACTCGTGAACAAAATGGTAAATGGACTTGAGCTTGTATATTTATTTTCTAGTCTTCTGACTACTTAAAGCGCTTTCACACCGCATGCCATACCTACACATTCACACACTGATGGTAGAGGCTGCTGTGTAGTGAGACCAACAGAAGTAACTAATCCCATTTATACACATTCATACGCCGCCGACGAAGCAGCAGGAGTAATTTCGGGGTTAAAGGTCTTGCCCAAGGACACATCGGACATGTGGCTGCAGTAGCTGGGGATCGAACCCTTGACCTTCTGGGTTGAAAGACCACCAACTCTACCAGCTGAGCCGCAGCTGCCCCAAGAATCAAGATACTTGAACTCCTTTGCTGAGGCAGAGGCTCACTCCACACCTGGAAGGAGCAGTCCACTCTTTTGGGGTGGCATTCTCCAAATATCACAATTCATTTAGCAGACACTTTTATCCAAGTAAGAAAAACACAAGCAAGGATCTAGAGAGGAGCAAACAACATCAGGAAGTGCAAACAAACAGCTTTAAGTCCAATCGGACACACAGGTGCTGACAGGAAGTGACTAGAGACAGAGCACAAAAAAAATCACATCATTACATCGTCAACAACAACATAACTATGATGGACACCAACATTTCATTAATTTTGAAAAGGGCAGACCACCAGAGGATTGCTCCTTATATAGACCAATTGCCCTGCTTGATGTCAACAGAAAGCCTATAGTGAAAATTCTGGCTAGACGATTAGAAAACATTCTTCCAGACCTGATTTCAGTAGATCAGAATGGCTTCATCGTAGGCCAAAATTAAAATGTTAGGAGGTTGCTGAACCTTATCCAGTGTGGCACTAATTTGAAAGCTAAGGCTATCGTGGTTTCCCTTGATTGAGAAAAGGCTTTTGATAGAGTTGAGTGGCCTTATCTATTGAATGTTCTTTCCAAATTCGACCTGGGAAATAACTTTATTAAATGGATTTCTCTTTTATACGACTCCCCTCATCAGTTCTTACAAATGGCTGGAAGTCCCCTACATTTCAGGTTGGCGTGGCACCCACCAGGGGTGTCCTGTCTCCCGCTTTTGTTTGCTCTCGCAATAGAGCCTTTGGCAGAGGTGATACGGAGCGATTCTCTGGTGAGAGGTATTGATATAGGTCCCCATAAGCACAAAATTTCTATCTACGCCGATGACATGTTGTTATTCGTAAAGGGATACTTCACCCGTTGAAACATGAATCTGTATTGACATTGGATCATATATATAGTAGAAATGTGAAATACATTTTGAAGTTGGTGTCTTCTTGGCCGTGAAAAGGCAGAAAGTGTCTTTTTGGCTCATGTTGATGAAAGACACCAATCCCAGAATGCACTCCCACTAAGGTCCTCTAGTTCAGAATCAGAAATACTTCATTAATCCCAGAGGGAAAGTTGATCGATACAGTTTCTCCAAAATATACAGTATAGCAGTAGAAATTTAGCAATAAAAACATTTACAGACATATTTACTTCAACACATAAGGCCGTTTCCTCAACTGATTCAGAGATTTCTTCCAGAATTGATCTTGGAAATTCCTGTCAGAAAACAGACTCTATGTCTGTGTCCATAGGCAAACAGTGAGAGCAGCGACACTACCAGTCAGCCCCAGCTCGAGCCAGCTCCTCGTCCTCACCAGACAGGCAGGCATTATGTCTCGGCTGTTGAGCTGGCAGCGGCCGGCGGCAGCAATGTAGCAATACAGCCGCAAGACGGTTGCTGCCGACAGGCCGGTCTTGTGTTGTGGCCAGCTCCTGGCGGCCGGGCTCGCGGCCGCCGGGAGATTATCAGCTTTCTCCATAGAGCCTGTTAGCATAGCTTCCAAGCAATATGGCGGACGTTAAGTTTTGATTCTGGGAGTGAGTTCCCACCCACTGATCTGTGATTGGTCTGTAGCTTCAGTGATCGAAGATATGAGGAACTAGCGTTGTAGTTTCACCCTGCTAACTGCAACAGCTTCCAATGACGCAAAAATCATGATTTTGTGTCACTGGAAGCTCCTTTTCAGACACAGAAATACAAAGATTTCCTATCTCAGGGGAAAATGAGGGCGGGATGCACGACCATTCAAAAATACTACCAGGTTTCTAATGATACAAAGCTTAATGCAAATGGGTGAAGTATCCCTTTCAGCAACCCAGAAGTCTCCATTGAAATCATCAAAATTTTGGGAGGCTCTCAGGCTATAAAATTGATTACGCAAAATCAGAGGCTATGCTCCTAACGCTTAATACCATTTGGACATCATATAGCTCTGCCCCTTTCTGATGGTCCCCTTCTGGGTTTGTTTATATGGGTATATATAAATTACTCCATCCCTCTCTTTCTCTATAAAGCCAACTTTTTGCCTTTAATCCACAGAATGAATAGATGATCTGGCATGCTGGACTTCCTTCACATTATCTCTTTTGGGTAGAGTAAATCTTTTTACTCTACTCTAAAAATATTTTTACTCTACTCAGCTGCTTTATGTTTTTCAAATGATCCCAGTTCTTTTGACCGGAAAATCAATCCCTTTTTTAAACAGCTCATTATCATCCTTTTTATGAGAAAATAAACAAGCTAGATTAAAACTACAGAAGCTGCAGCACCGACTAGAAGAGGGTGGACTGGCTTTGCCCAATATTAGATACTACCAACTGGCTTGCCTTGGCAGGTATCTTTGGGAATGGGTTAGAAATTACCCGAAATCTACATGGCTCAACATAGAGGCTGCCCCTCTGGACAAAATTCCTCTTTGTTATATTATGTATATTTCTAAAAAAAATGGGTTTCAGAGAAAGTAAAAGGTAATTTCCACACTATGAAAGTATGGAGAACTATTAGGAAAATAGAGGCTCGGGAAGACTGTCTTTCAAGACTTACCCCCATTTATCTGAATCCAGACGTTCCCCCTAGCCTAGTAGATTGTGCATTTACATTTTGGTCAGACAAGGGTATTGGAACCATTGGTCTGGTTCATCTGGGTGTTTGTCCACTAACAAGGTTAAGGTAATGTAATTCAAAATTATATACAGGCTTCAAATTACACCACTGCTACGGAATAGATTCAACCCTTCTCTTTCAAAGAATTGTAATAAATGTAAGGTTATTGAAGGGACATACTTCCACTGTATCTTCAATTGGCCTTTCATCAAAACGTTTTGGGTAAATGTTTGTAAAGAAATGTCTGTAATGTTTGGTAAAAACTTAGATCTTAAGCCGGTTTCTTGTATTATTGGTTTATATTCTGCAATTAATATTAAACCCAACATGTTGAAACTCCTTGATGTTCTTTTGTTTGGTGCTAGAAGGTGCATCTTACTTCAGTGGATCTCTAACAAACCTGCTCAGCTCTCAATGTGGTTACGAAGTATAATAGAACTCATACCCCTGGAGGCCATGACCTACTGGCTCAAGGACAAACCCTCTTCATTTCAAAAAATATGGGACCCTTCTTAACCTATATTGGAGTAGAGAAAGCACAGCCTCTGCAAAGAGGCCTATTTGGACTTATTTGGATAGATATGTTACGGCTCTGGCTGTGATCCTATTTCTGTGTATCCTTTGTGTCCCCTCCCCCTCTGTCTGTCTGTGTGTGTGTCTCTGGAGGGTGTGGCTGCAATCAACACCGGGTGACTACTCACACCTGCAGCTCGTCTGCTCATCTGCCTCAAGTTAAAAACCCTGGGTTCAACTCGACTCATTGCCAGATTATTGTGCCTACTGAAGTGGTAGATACTATCGGCTGCTCCTAACATTTGTTAGAGTTTTGTTCTAGTAGTGTTTTACTAGTGGATCCTAACTGATTTTTCTCTCCTGTTGTCCAGATTCTCACCGGTGTCATCTCCTCCAGTCTGCTCTCCTCACAGACAACACAACCACTCATCCGCCTGCCTACAGAACCAGCTACTCCATAGTCTCCTCCATGACGTCATTACCAGCCATCCACCTTTCCCAAACCCTGCAATAAAACCTCAAATCCTTCAGCTTTGCTGCTGTGTCTGCTTTTGGGTCTGGATACAAACCGTAACAAGATATTCTTAAAGAGGCCCGTAATCAACCTGTATTCAACCCTTAATAAAGCAGAAAAGCTGTGACACTTTACTGCCTGAACCCTTGGTTACTTACTTTTTTTATTTGTAATTATTTTCGTAATCTCTTCTTGTTACATATATCCTTTTTTTTCTTCTTCCCCCATTTGTTTCATTTATTTTTATTTTTATTCATCAACAGCTCTTCTTGAGAGTTCTAACCAGCATCCTAAATATCATCGTCATTGTCATTAAGTTCGTTGGTGTTCATAAAGAGCTGGGTCTTTAGCTTTTCCTTAAAGATGCAAAGGGACTCTGCAGATTGAATGGCACAAGGGAGTGTAGACGTGGATGGATCATCTGCAGGGGTTTGATAGTGCATGCAGGAAGACCTGCCTAAGGAGTTGCAATAGTTAATGCGTATTATCAAACTAGTACCTGGACCATTACCTTGATGTATGTATGACAGGGGTACAAAAGATTACATTGTAGCCTCTAAATAATTACATGATACATTGTGGGCTGCAACCTAAAATGTACCCTTAATTGTAATGCCCTTCCCTTCTGTATGTTCAATTTCATGTTTATGAAGTTTTGGTATTAGTAACGGTGTGCAATGCATCTTGTTTACAGTATGACAGGTATGGCATGGTGGTTGGTGCGCTTGCCCCATGTCCAGAGACTGTGGTCCTCGAGGGCAGGCAGCCCTATGACTCTATTCCTGCATCTCTTTCCCCACTGTTTCTCTCCCTGATTTCTTGACCATGTCCACTGTCCTTTCATTAAATAAAGGCATAAAAAGCCCAATATAGATCTTTAAAGAGTTTTATGTGTATATATATAAATACAGTTTACAAAGTGACTCACCTGTACACTTGAACTTCCCTGTAAGAACACAACCTCTTTGAAATCTTGAAGAATACTCAGGTACTTCTTGTCAGTGTACTCGTAGCGATGTCCAAACACAAGGCAGTTGATAATGTTGGACACAGCACTGATTATCAGTGGCTGAGCATTCATAGGCTGTCCTGTCAGGTAAAGAGAAAATGTAGAGAGTCGTGAAAAAGAAGACACAGACCTTATTTAAATATGTATTTAAGTCACTGCTCTGCCAAGTTGTCAATAAGCTTGTAATAATAGATTATCATCAGGTTGATACCAGATGTGTTATATGGTTTATGATCCTTTGTTGCTTGGTTTTGTGTGTGTCAAAGTTTAAAGATAATGTTTACCACAAGATTATTTAATAATAACTAAAGACAAAGGGAGGAAAACAGGACTACAAGACTAGTTCAGGATTGTATTCTTGTCAGTTGCTGCTATGATTTTTTTATTGCCTTTGTGATTGGCAAAAGCCTCAGTGAGATATTGGCTCTCCTGCTGGATGGATGGCTCCAGGGTCTTCTTGCCCACTCCAAAGTTCCTGAGAGTGTGAAGAGCGAATCTCCTCTGTTGCTTCCATGGATTGCTGTTTGACATCACCAGACCTTTTAGAGACACACAAACACATTATACTGAACACATTAAGGAATAAGAATTTAACAACAAGCTCGATGGCAATATATGCATAAATACAACCAGTCACGCAATGCAAACGCAGTACCCTTGTCCCCCATCATTGCACAAAAAATAGGTATGACGGGGCGATCGACATAGTCCTCCCCTTTTTGGACCAGGGCCTCTCTCACAAGCTTGTATCCATTGATGACGACAACTCTTCCACCAAAGAGCCGCAGGCTGAAAATCTTTCCATATTTCTCTGCAAACTGAGAACACAGAGCAGACAGGTGTTCAGGTGGAACTGTGACACCACAAACACTCACCCGGCTGTTGTGACAAGTGAATAAGTTATGCACTAATAGTTTAGAATAACTTCTACTAAATTCTTAATAAGGAAACATAACAGAATCAATCTTGTGATTATTATTCCTTTTTTCCAGGTATTTTTATGGTCATAAACAAAGCCAACATGTCTGAAATAACTTACTGACACGTAAAGACTTTCATGACGATGCAGTTTTGATGTTTGAGTAAGCTAAAAGTTTGGTTTTATGAACAATAAATGTGCTAGCAGACAAGCCCATGCTAGGTGCCATAGATCAACCTGTAGTTACACCATATGAAGTGTGTGCTGTACTTGTCTTATTGTCTTATTTAATAGATGTGTACTGCCTTGTGTTCTCATGCACTTTAATGAGTTTGTTGAGCGTTTAAGACTTGTCTCGATAGAAGAGCGTGAGAAAATTAAGCATTTAGTTCTTATAGTATTTGGATCCATATGTATGAGTTCTGCTGATTTTTGTGTTTTGATGTTGTTTGGGTTCTAATGATGTTTGGGTTCTTATGATGGTTGGTTTCTGATGATGTTTGGGTTTTGATTATTTGTTTGGGTTCCGATGATGTTGGTGTTATTATAATGTTTTGGTTCTGCTGATGTTTGGGTTCTTATGATGCTCAGATTTTTAGGATGTTTGGGTTCTTATGTTGTTTGTGTTATTATGATATTCTGGTTTTGATAATGTTCGCGTTCTGATAATGTTTGGGTTCTAATGGTGTTCAGGTTCTTATGATGTCTGAGTTCTGCTGATTTTTGGGTTCTGATGTTTGTCTGGTTTTTTGGGGGGTTCTGCTGACCGTTGGGTTCTATTGGTGTTCAGGTTCTTATGATGTTTGGGTTCTAATAGGTCTAATAATTTGTCCGCGTTCTTATATGATGTTTGGGTTCTGATGTGGGTCTGGTTTTTGTTTGGGTTCTGCTGACTGTTGGGTTCTTATGATGTTTGGGTTCTAATGGTGTTCAGGTTCTTATGATGTTTGGATTCTGCTGATTCTCATGATGTTTGGGTTCTTATGATGTTTGGATTCTGCTGATTCTTGTGATGTTCAGGTTCTTATGATGTTTGGATTCTGCTGATTCTCATGATGTTTGGGTTCTTATGATGTTTGGATTCTGCTGATTCTTATGATGTTCAGGTTCTTATGATGTTTGGATTCTGCTGATTCTTATGATGTTCGGGTTCTTATGATGTTTGGATTCTGCTGATTCTCATGATGTTTGGGTTCCTATGGTGTTCAGGTTCTTATGATGTTTGAGTTCTTATGGTGTTCAGGTTCTTATGATGTTTGGGTTCTAATAGGCCTAATTATTTGTCCACAGTATTATATGTGACGCGTTCCATCAAAATGAGTCGGATGTCGCAGCGGCCCGTTTGTGTAAAAACACGTTTTTACAAGAAAATACGATTTTGGGCTGTTTTCAGTTTTTATATGTTTCTAATTAAATAAAGTCTCAGCTTTAATACAATGTCAAAATTAATGTAAAATTCAAATGATAAATATCGCTAGCATTCATAAAACAAAACAGGTGTCAGATTTCAAAACGCCGGCTAGCGTCTTTGTGTGTTATCGGTCAGAGCGGCATCTGTTTAGACAGACACGGAGACAGATTGACAGCCTAGACAAAATGAATTCGCGCGAAGACGACATTGCTCTCACTGTCATCACTCTCCTGCTCCTCCCAGAGCGCGTCATGTGTGTTGACATTTAAAGGGACAGGCGAACAATTAGAGCTGCGCTCTGAATACTAGACCCCGAATATAAGACGACTTGACTTTTTCGGACCTATTTCGATGGGGAAAAAGGCTGTCTTATATTCGGACCAATACGGTAATTGTTTAAAATAGTCATATTAAATACTCTTATATATTATTATTCCCACTCCTTATAAATCATCAAATTCAACGACTTTTCAAGGACTTTCCAGGCCCAATTCCCTCTAATTCAAGGACCCAACAAGGCATAGTTTGAGACACGGATCAAGGTTAATTACTGTTACAACACTGAGAATTTTTACAATGAGAACTAGCAGGCTTTATAGAACAACTATTAAAAAGCGAGAGAGGCTTGAATGTGTAAACACTTCTCAATTGTGCTGTGTTACTGTGATGGCAGGCTATGTGGCCTATTGACGAACGTTAAGTAACAGAAATTATCAAAAGAATGAGTGAATTTCTATTCTTGTACAAAATATATAAATTCAAGCACTTTCAATGACCCATGTCAAAAACTTTCAAGGCCTTGATTATTATTTTTGCAAGGATTTCAAGGACCTGTGGGAACCTGTATTATAGTAAATAACACTATATCAGATTATATTGTACATAATTGTTTTTAATGATTGGATGTGTTATCAAATTATTTATTAATTTCTTGCACAGCAACTTTTATTACCTGTCTTATTCTATTTTAGCTTGTTTTTATTTTCTATAATCTGGGCTCTTTAATGATATTTTTTTCTAATTGTATTTAAGTCCTTTTATGTGTTTCTGTGCACTTTGTCACAATGCTTTGGATGTTTTATGTAAAGCACTTTGAATTGAATTGATTGTTTATAAATGTATTTCAATTCATTTGGAAAATGGCGGAATTTTGATTGCTATCTTTAGTGCCCTTTATCTCAAAAACAAGGTTTGGTGACAGTCAATTCAATTTCAATTTTATTTGTATAGCGTCAACTCATAACAAGTGTTATCTCAAGACACTTTACAAAAAGCAGGTAAAATACCTTACTCTCTGTCTGTTAACATTACAAAAGAGCAGGTAAAAAGACCTTACTCATTGTTATGTTACAAAGATCCGGCCTATGCATCATGAGCACTTTAGCAAAGCAGCAAAAGTTACAGTGGTAAGAAAAAACTGCCTTATTAAAAGGCATTTGACATTTGGAAGACTGTATCTCGTAGAATATCTGGAGTAGAAAAATAATTTTGGTATTGCCATAAAGCTGAGACTTTCCTCTTTACAGCCATACAGAAAACTCAAAATATGTTTCTGGGTTAAAGTGAATGATGGAGCAGGTCACATATGATGTTTGGGTTCTATTGTGGGTCTGGTTTTTGTTTGGGTTCTAATGTTGGGGTTTTGTGGTTGTTGGTTGGGTGTCTTATCCGTGGG